CATTTAATGTTTCTTGGATGAAACTTTACAGTATCAAGGGTAATAACTCTAGCAGAAATGTACAGCCCCAGTTATTATAAGTCCGGTCTATACCAAACAAGTATATTCATCTAATATCAACGTACAGTTGGTATAGGGTTATGCAAATACATTACAGTGTTATATAAGTGTATGTATGGTTCAACTGACTCTAAGTACAACACCTTTACAACAATGATACGTCATACTCCCGCACCACTTGATGTTGATGTTTGCTTTCGAAATACTTAATAGATATGCTATGTTATTCCTTTTTGCGACGTAAGAGAATTTTAACCAAAAAAATCGAAAATAATGGTTTCGATGTTTTTGTATCTGCCAGTAATATTAATTGTGTCCTCCATTAATGTAGGAACTGCTGATCCCAGTTGTTTAAAGGTTGGTGAAAGTTAACAAGTGGTTAGTGAAAAAAATGTTGTCATTAGAGCAAAAGGATTTTTAAAACAAAATTGGAACTCAAAAATATCTTAGCTGTAACAACAATTCTACAGCTGTGAATTGGGAAGGGATGTTCCCGTTTCTGTTTAATTAATATTTGAACATTTCCACTAATCACTTGTTAATTCTTACCAAGCTTTCAGTAACTGGGACATGATCATTAATAACGTCAGATGAATCAAGCAGTACATAATGAAAACAGCAGATAAAATGTTTAAGATATATCTATTTTTTCAAATGTAAAGGATGTAAGTTTCCCTCGTCAATGAAGTTAGATCTACATTTAACATCCATCATTCCCGCCATATCCCTAGAGTCTAAACAAGAGGTTTCCCTCATAAAAGCAGTTAGATATAACAGCCATCATTCCCGTGATATCCCTAGAGTCTACACAAATGGTTTCCTCTAATCTATACAGTTAGATATTACAGCCAATATTCACGTCCTATTCCTAGAGTCTGCACAAGAGGTTAACAAGAAGTTAAACAGAGAAAGAAGGCTAGATGTCCATTGAAACTGGATATCACTAACGTACAACACAGGTAACCAGAGAAAGAAGGCTAGATGCCCATTGAAACTGGATATCACTAACGTACAACACAGGTAACCAGAGAAAGAAAGCTAGATGTCCATTGAAACTGGATATCACTAACGTACAACACAGGTAACCAGAGAAAGAAGGCTAGATGTCCATTGAAACTGGATATCACTAACGTACAACACAGGTAACCAGAGAAAGAAGGCTAGATGTCCATTGAAACTGGATATCACTAACGTACAACAAACGTAACCAGAGAAAGAAAGCATTTCCACGTTCAGTACATACGCTTTATTACCTCAACGGTACCACAAAAAAAAACTTTCAGTTAAAAATTGAGAAGTGACAACGACTGAAAGTAATATCAGGTTACTTATATAAACCGGAAATTACGTAGAAGGAAGAACAACGATCATTTTCTGTAATGTATGTACTTACAAGGCATTAAAACTACCATGTAAAATTGGTATCGAGGAAGTAAACAACAACAGAACAGATATTTAGGAGTTGTATTCTGTACAGATCGTACCAGACCCAGCATGCAACCTACTTCCAAAAAACAACTGACCAATCCCATGATGGATTTCGTCTGTTCAAGAGGAACGTATCTGATAAATGGAAGTTAGCCTGGTTATCGGGTGAAAGTCCATGACGATAATGAACACGTCTAAAAGTAAAGTTTGGGATTGACGGCATTGCAGCGTACAGCAATATATAGATACACATCTATGGTCCTGGAACAGGACTAGTCCGCTCGGAAGCTTACTCTGGCTATACTCAACGTCCATTTGTATCACGCTTGAAACTACCGCGATGAACTAAGTAATGGAAAATGGGTTTAGATTACGTCACAGCCGTATGGATTTTTTGTCATTTTTATCCAGGGAAATACGATAAATCATCTACTGTCTCACCAGCAAAAGCTGCCAAATTGTAAGGCAGTTCGATATCTTTGCCAAGTATAAGAGGCCCAATAGCCTTTACAGTCACATGCATGTCACGTTTTCGTTCGGAAAGTGGCACGGTTTAGTACATACACGTGTACTGGACGCTATTTTTAAATCATCAGATATATGAACACTGCGGAATTGATTGCATAGCACGGTTAATGCACCTCCCCATCTAGATTTTTACATTTCTTTCATCAATTTTGATTTTTCTCACTCGCCTCACTGTTCTCAACATTAAGGCCTGGGCATTGTTAACGAATCCTAAGAAGAAACGGCTGTATGCTGCAGTTTAATTTATCACTTTCCTATCTACTTTGTCTAATCTGACATGATATTGAAAGATACTATTCACCTGTTTAGATTTATATTTTTCAGGGAGAGTCTGTCAAATACCGTACAACTGTCATGTAAAATGCGATATACTGATTCAAAAAAGAGCATTTAATCCCAGCATCCCCAAACACCGTCCAGCCCCTGGAGTACATGCAGGATCAGTTCGTATACAGTATAATAACTATTCTTATAGTGTTTGACTTATTTCCAACGGAAAAGGGCATTTTCCTATATAAAACTGAACCCTTTCCGCGTCCGCGGATAAAAATAGGACACCTTGGTGTAAGGATTTTTTTTATGAACAATGCATTTATAACCTACAACCTAACAGAGGTAACGAAAGTAAAGGAATCTAACATATCTGATTCCTGAAAAGAGTATCAAAATTAAGGTCAATTAGTCCGGTTTCGGCACATCAGATTCCTGGGGTCAGTTAGGGGTTATATATATATTTAATCATCTATTCCATACGGATAATTCTAATCAAAGTTGTCCATTCTTTATCAACATGTAGCTCTCAATGTCTGGTGTTGTCAGTTGTTTGTCAGCAATCAATATCTGTCGGGTGAAAATCATGATTTTCGCATCCAGACAATGAACATCGAACCAAGTAGTAGGAATACATGGCTGCTGTCAATGAAGGGAAAATTCGTGATCAAAATAGTAAAAGAGATCGAGGGAGATAGCATGTCGGCGGCTGACAGTGATGGAATTCATACATCGATATACAAAGGATATATATATAGCTTAACGCTTGACCTTATAACATTAAGTTAATTTATTAAATAGCGAAAATGAGACACCGGCGATAATAAACACACAATACTGTATATCAAATTTACGACAAATAATATAATAATTTATTGACTGTTCATGCCTCAATCATTCCATCACCATGGCTTCGTAAGTCAAATATTTACAAATGGTGTAATTGTTAAGGACGCTGAAGAATTTCTTGGCTAATCGACTTGGTGTCGTAGGTTGTGAGTTCGAGGCCCGGACAAGGCACGAGTCAAATTTGTTTCAGATATATTACGTTTCCATCGTTAATAATCCGATACATATAGTTTATAAATACATTAGTACTACTATAATACTAAAACCGTATATCCCCTACTGCCGACTATTAAGGAGTATCGGCATTAACGTCAAATACCAGTCAGTTTAACTCTTGACGCCACTGACAAATGAATTTATCGGTAACCGAGATTTTTCTGATGTGTTTGTCATTAAAGTATGATTTTAAAAAATCTGAACATTACGTAAGATTTGATGGTGATCAGTATTCTAGTAGTCCCGGATGTGCTGGTCGGGCTTTTTCAATTTAGTAAGTAACCGTGTTCGAAATATATTACAAAAACTGTTTTGATTTTTCAAAAATAATCCTATTTAGTGAACACAACTTTTGTGTGTCTCTTACTATTGATGGTGTCATGTATGATTTATTTCATGTAGTCTTGTCTGATTATCTCCCATAGTAATTCCATTTATTGTCTAATGAAAACTCTTCAACCGATCCAATTACGTTCAAGTTCAAAATATTTTATTTTAGCGTCAAGCACACAATAAACATTTGCGTTATCTATAAACTCATACTACATCATATATAGTCCAGCCAAAATGGCTTATTAGACGCATCATTGCACATGTATATGATATATAAAATTCGAACACTTTCAGTACGTAAGCTCACGAACATATTAAATCATTATATTAGTTGAAATAATCCCAAGTTCAACTTATGGACATATGTAAATATAGCTAAAATGCTATGGAAACATCACATTTCTTCTTCTCGAAGTTTTCGAAGATCTTCATAATAAACGACCTATAAAAATTATTCTCATTTTCTAATTCAGCATTATAAAATCTATTGTTAACAGAAATTACTGGTCGGGTCTGTCTATCCTTTTTTGATTTGAAGACAAGGAACCACATCTAATATAGATGTTTCCCCGCTTACATTTAACATGAACACATTTAACACAATCACTGGTGACTGGCTCAAACTGAAAATTCCATAAGTACGAAGTTTGTTACCATCAATATTTTTAGTTTGAATATGAGTTTGAAATATGATACCGATGTCATGTTGGTATTTTCTTGTTGTTATCGAATGGCACTCCATTATTAGTTGTATTTTGTAATTATTTTAATAAATCTTCAACTTTAGGATTTGTTAATCAGTAAAGACAGAATAATCCAAATACCACTCATCGATAAAGTTGTGTAATAAATACTTATTTAGACTATATCTAATGAAATTGCATTTTCATCCATTCGAGAATTGCCTACATTACCCCCAGCAGACACTCTAAATTTTACTCACTTTATATCCTTTCAACAGGTAGTATCTCACAAAATCAATGTCACGGATGTTGAAATTATGTATCGCAGTGATCAGCGTCATATGATTCCCCATCCGGTCAGATCTTACCCTCACCTTAAGGTGAACATCGATCACAGTACTAACTGTATGTAAAAGCAAGTTATGCCCGATGCACGGTTGGAAATACATCATATCAATAGATCAAATGAAATAAATAAATAAATAAATAAATAAATAAGAAAAAAATCAAACTTTCTCATTTAAGTGCAATCCATTTTAGTAAGATCGGTGAAATAATGGGCACAACCATTATGTCTGAGGAAATGCAACGTTTCTAAGTTAAATCCGGATCGCTGAAATTGCATTCAATGTTTCATTTAAGCTTCACAGCCCGACATTTGTAGTCCTTTGACGCACGCGCTATTCCCAAGGTCGCCTCGAAAGATGGAAACTTGTCTGGGCTCTCCGGTAGGAACTGAAACCTCTGCAGCAGTGAGGTCATGAACAGAAATAGTTCCATCCTCGCTAGGGATTCTCCGAGACAAATACGGCGTCCTGGGAAACAGAGAGTGATTGCATTTGATTCATTAAAACACGTGTCATAATGCTTTAAATAAAACTGAATGTAAAGCAGTTTACATTTGAATGTTTTAGCGGAATTAGACATCAAAATACTTTTAGATATTATTGATGCCTTACGACACCAGTCATTGATGTACAGAGCTACAAACATAGTGTAGACCGTTATAGAACTATACAAGTTATGTTAGATAGAGAAATCTACAATTTTAAACAAAAACAATACCTAGCGAGAATGTTATCACTGACTTTTCTTTTCCATTCAATTGTCCGTCTTTTCCCAGGTATCTCTCAGGTTGGAATTCATCAGGCTTCTCAAACAAGCACGGATCTGTTAAAACTGAATCAAGATCTGGTATAACAACCGACCCTTTAGGAATGACCATGCCCCGGAAATGGATGTCCTTTTTTGCCCCGTGAGGCACAGACAGGGGAGCTATATTACCCATCATTCGGAACACCTCTGTTATAAACGCTTCATAGTAAGGCATGTGGGATTTGTCGGCGAGTGACGGAGGTTTAGACGTCCCTATGACTGTCTCAATCTCCTGTCGAACTTTGTCCTGGATGTGTTTGTAGTGGATGAGGTAAAGTATCGCCCAGCGAATCATGGTAGCTATTGTGTCAGTCCCCGCGAAAAAAATATTTATAACGGAAGCCGATACGTTCAGATCTGTATAAATAAATAAAAACAAAACTATATCTATTTATCGTATGGATACCAAAGGATATAGAACATGCAACTTCACCCATCCTCCAACGTGGAAACCTCAGTTAAGGCACCAAATTGATATAACTATCGTTTTCACCACTACAACCAAGTAGAAAGCCATTACTTGCTATTATTTCAATGTGTTGTATTGGTAGTCCAGGTAAAATTTTCAATAGACGACACAGGAGAGATATCTGAGATGGACCGTATCTTGTTCACCTATTTAAGAGACGAACATGCTCAGAAGAATATCGATGGAACGATTATAGTCGATTTCATATAAAGTTACCGATATCTACCTGTTGTAGTGTGGTTTCCGGTGATATCCTGCCTATGTCAGAAGCGGATATCCATTATGATAATATTAGAAGTAAAACTTATTCAAATTTTGCATATACTTAATCAATTCTGATATGATGTTGAAGTAACGACAAAATAAAGAAAAACAAGTTCTGTTATCTCCTTTCATGATAGTAAGGCAAACATTTCATTAGTTATGGACCTTTTGTTCAGGTCCAAGTGGTGTTATATGTATGTTTATTTTCTTTTAAAAAAATTAAAACCAATGGAATGCATGAAATAAAAAAATCCACTGAGACACATATATCATCCCCCGGTGTTTATATGGTCCAGCTAAATAGAAACATTTAGTGTCTATATGTTATACATCCACCTTCGCGTTAGGATCTCTTTTTTCTTGTCTTAATAGCGAGAGTAACTCTTCTGGATAAAATAATGATATATGGATAATTGATATATAAAATTGGTTATACAGATCGGGCTTCGGATATTTAAGGGAAAGAGAGAACTATTGACAGATTTTGTCAGGAATGGATGAGTTAATATTAGTTATCCTAAACGTACCCAGTATAGGTTCTTGTGTAAGGAGTTTTGCATACAGCAATACTTAAGAAAGTCACTAGACATCCAAATTTTGAAAAAAAAAATAAAATGCTTCTATGGTCACATATTTATGCATTGAAATATGAGGGTATCATAATGAAGAACGTGAACGTAGACTGTGTTCACTAGGCATGAAATTATGTATGATGTCATTCAGTATCATTGTGTATATATCAAAATTGTATCAAGCAAAGAATATGTCATTGCCTGTTCTCT